TCTTGTTTCTTTTATGACTTCTGCGTTATTCCAATAGCTTTTATATAGGAAATAACTTTACCTGTCGCGGTAAGCACAAATAAAACAGAAATTGCTAACGACAGCAATAACAGAAGAGTCAGACCAGTAGCAAATGTCACATGTTCTATCGAAACACTTTCCTTATATCGACTTTAAATAAACATTTCTTAGATAGACTGTGTATGCTGGCTAGATATTACTCTGATAAGAAAAAGCACTTATTAAACAACGTTACAGGCACGTGATCCGCAATAACTACTTTCGAAGGCTGAAGGTTTCATTTGCTCCCAGGTTGCAATAGGGGCCGGAATGTTAATTTTTTTTTTTTTTTTTTATTTACACGAAGCGTGCAAGTTTGAGTATACAATGCATGCAACGTGTCAATAAATATTTCGTTTGGCTGGTTGATTAGCTTGTAAATTCGACGGATAAGAAGTCACTAAAGAGGCGATTTATCTGCGAAGGCGCACGGCCAGTGAAGCAAATGCCTTACCCCATTGAAATCATACAAAACCAGTTTTCAACACTTTCCCAAAATGTCAGACCCCTCAAAAAGTCGCTGGCCAACATGGATATAGAGTGCGACTATGATGTGTATGGATGTGTCGAACGTGTGTGTAATGTAACAGTTTTCATTATACATAAATCGAATTGCTATGATTTTTGGCGTACGACGGCACGCTGGACGGACAAGCGAGTGTAATATTGGGTAAATGGCTTGCGAATTGAACTTCGCTGAAGTCATGCGCGATGAAACATAATGCCAATGAACAAGAGTGCTTTGTCTCGATTTAGGCCTTCAACTTCTCGTTCGATTGTTTTTTTTTCTGTATTTTTTTTTACCCCGTTCGTATCTGTCCGTAAGTATTTGAATCTAATGAATAGTTTACGTTACTTGATGAAGAGAATGGTAAAAGACGTTTGTCCATTTTATGATTGACAACCAGAAAAAAAATTCTATGACAGGTATGTCCGACTCGGGTTACTTTTCCATAGTTATCAGTGCGTTCCGTTTAAGAATGAAAACTACTTATTGGGTTACAGGACCCGTCGTACTACCATGGCACAATTAAGAAGAAAACCCGCATGAATGGCGACCTCGCTCAGGCAATCGCTGTGTTTGGTTTGCCGGCAGCCAGAATGCCGAGTTTTGGAGTTGCACGAAAGAGTGCCAGATCTAAGGTCGATGACATGCAGGATTTGCCATCAAATATGGAAGTTGTTTACCAGGAAAGGACGGCTTTGTAACGCCTAGTAGTAAACAGTCAGTCAAATACCCTACCCCTAGTAATCCCTACTAGCAGTAATTAATCTAGAGTTTTAATCCTCTGATACAACTCCTGATACGATACAGATACAACCCCCATTACCCCTGATACAGATACAACCCCTACTGCCCCCGATTACTACCCCTACTACCGATACAGATACCTACCCCTGATACATTACTACCCCTGATACAACCCCTACTATTCCTGATACAGCTACAACCTCTACTACCCCTGATACAGATGCAGTAACTGACACATATACACTACCCCTGATACAGTTACTGATACGGTTATTGATACAGTTATACAGTTACTGATACAGTTACCTTATTACCTGATACAGTTACTGATACAGTTACGCTACTACCTGATACAGTTACTGATACAGTTACCCTACTACCTGATACAGTTACTGATACAGTTGACCCTACTACTTGATACAGTTACTGATACAGTTGCTGTACTGATACAGTTACTGATACCTACTACCCCTGAGACGATACAGATATAACCCCTACTATCCCTGATAGTCAGTAACAGATACAATACGATACAGATACAACACCCCTACTACGATACAGATACCACTACTACCCCTAGTACGGTAACAGATACAATACAGATACTACTACCCACAATACAGGTACCACTACCCCTAAAAGTCAGTAACAGATACAATGCGGTAACAGATGCTTCCGACTACTCCTAATAGTAAATACAATACGGTCCCTAATACAACCCCTGATAGTCAGTAGCAGATACTACTACTACTACCAATCCACAACGGGTACTACTACTACTACTACTACCAATCCACAACAGATACTACTACTATTACTGGCAATCCATAACAGATACTACTACTACTACTACCAATCCACAACAGATACTACTACTACTACTACTACTACTACCAATCCACAACAGATACTATTAGTACTACCCACAACAGATACTACTAACTACTACCTACAACAGATACTACTACTACTTCCCACCTACTACTAGCCACAACACCCACGACAGATACTACTACTACTACCCACAACAGACAGATGATACTAGATAACAGATACTACCATTACAGTAGATACTCATTACTTACCAAATACTACACTAATAAACCCCTTTAAACCCCTGATAGTCAGACCAGATACTTTCCTAATAAACCCCTGTAAACCCCAGATAGTCATACCAAATACTACCCCAATAAACCCCTCCAGATACTACCCTAATAAACCCCTGTAAACCCCTGATAGCCAGACCAGATACTACCCTAATAAACCCCTCCAGATACTACCCTAATAAACCTCTCTAGTTACTACCCTAACAGTTATTACCCTAACATTCCAGATACTACATAAACCCCTAATAACCCCCTAATAAACCCCTCGGATACTACATGAACCCCTAATAAACCCTTTCAGATACTACATAAACCCCCAATGAATCCCTCAGATACTACATAAACCCCCTCAGATAGTACATAAACCCTTAATAAACCCCCTCAGATACTATATAGACCCCCAATAAACCCCTTCCCTCAGATACTACATAAACCCCTAATGAACCCCTCCCGTCAGATACTAGAGAAACCCCTAATAAACCCTTCCCCTCAGATACTAGAGAAACCCCTAATAAACCCCTCCCCTCAGATACTACATAAACCCCTAATGAACCCCTCCCCTCATATACTACATAAACCCCTAATAAACCACTCCCCTCAGATACTAACTACATAAACCCCTGATAGTCAGTACATACATACTACATAACCCAGTAAATACACCACCTGATAGTCAGTATATACATGCTACATAACCCAGTAGATACACCCCCCTGATAGTCAGTGGATAAATACTACATAATACAACCCAATAGATACACCCCCTGATAGTCAGTAGATAAATACTACATAATACAACCCAGTAGATACACATCCTGGTAGTCAGTGGATAAATACTACATAATACAACCCGATAGATACACCCCCTGATAGTCAGTAGATAAATACTACATAATACAACCCAGTAGATACACCTCCTGATAGTCAGTAGATAAACACTACATAATACAACCCAGTAGATACACTCCCTGATAGTCAGTAGATAAATACTACGTAAACCCCTGATAGTCAGTAGACACAATTCCCTCCCCTGATGGTCAGTAGATACCGTCAGTAGATAAATACTACGTAAACCCCTGATAGTCAGTAGACACAATCCCCTCCCCTGATTGTCAGTAGATATCAACAGATACAATACTACATAGTACACAACCCAGTAGACACGCTACTTTAACCCCTGATAGTCAGTAGTAGATAAGAATACAGATACGCTACATTAATCCCTGATAGTCAGTAGTAGATAATACAGATACGCTACATTAACCCCTGATAGGCAGTAGTAGATAAGAATACAGATACGCTACATTAACTCCTGATAGTGAGTAGAGAAAAATTACGGTAAGAATACAGATACAATATAAAATACAATACTGAACCCCACAATACAGATACAATACAGAACCCAGGATACAATACAGAACCCCACAATACAGATACGGTAATAGATATAATATAGACACGTCCGATACGACCCCTGATCCCTATTCAGATACAACCCCCTGATAGTCAGACCCCTCCGATACAACCCCCCTGGCAGTCTGATCCCTATTACAACCATCCTGACAGTCAGACCCCTGATCCCTATTACAACTATCCTGACAGTCAGACCCCTGATCCCTATTACGACCATCCTGACAGACCCCTGATCCATATTACAATCATCCTGACACTCAGACCCTGATCCCTATTACAACAATCCTTACAGTCACTTAGAGATCCACAACAATCCCTATTACAACAATCCTGACAGTCGGTCAGGTAGGTAGAGATCCACCCCCCACCCCCCTGACAGTCACGTGGAGATCCCTATTGCAACCCCCTGACACCCCCTGACAGTCAGTAGAGAATTCTCAACGCGCTTAACCCCCTGGTAGTCAGTGAGAATTCTAACGCGCTTAACCCCGTGATAACCCCCTGATAGAGAAGTCAGTAGAGAATTCTAACGCTTAACCCCCTGATACTCAGCCAGTCAGTAGAGAATTCTAACGCTTAACCCCCTGATACTCAGCCAGTCAGTAGAGAATTCTAACGCTTAACCCCCTGATACTCAGCCAGTCAGTAGAGAATTCTAACGCTTAACCCCCTGATAGTCAGCAACCAGCAACCCCCCTGATAGTAAGCAACCAGCAACTTAGGAAATCTAATTAGAGTTATTAGTAGTAGAAGAATTCTAACCCGTATAGTAGTAGAGAATTATAACCTAAGCCCTGATAGGGAATTCTACCTAAGTAGAGAATTCTAACTTCCTTAACCCCTGATAGTCAGTACAGTAAAGTAAATTCTAACGCCCCCTGATAGTCAGTAAAGAAAAATCTAACGCCCCCTGATAGTCAGTAAAGAAAAATCTAACGCCCCCTGATAGTCAGTAAAGAAAAATCTAACGCCCCCTGATAGTCAGTAAAGAAAAATCTAACGCCCCCTGATAGTCAGTAAAGAAAATTCTAACGCAAATCTAACGCCCCCTGATAGTCAGTAAAGAAAATTCTAACGCCCCCTGATAGTCAGTAAAGAAAATTCTAACGCCCCCTGATAGTCAGTAAAGAAAATTCTAACGCCCCCTGATAGTCAGTCAGTAAAGAAAATTCTAACGCTTAAAACTCGCGTTTATTCATGCCACCATCTTCAAGTACTAGCAGACAGCCGTCCACCACACAAGCGAAAATTCTTGTCGCTATCAGTTGTCTGGCACATGCGCGGCGATTACAAATGAGCTAGCTCGCGCCTTCCTGGGATGGGAACTCGGAGCCGCTGTAGGGCCCTAATCACGGTCGTCAAATTCGTGCCAAGTTCTCGGAGCCTCCTCCTGGACCACCCCACGAAAAACTCATCAGGACCCGAAGCCTGCCCAAATTAGACGGCGTCGACGCTTTCGATCTTCCTCGAGGTCTTACTAGCAGTACGAAATCGCCACAATCCAGCTGTTCTCCTTGGCTGGGTGACACGGCAGCGTCTGATCGGGCGCAGCTTGACGGTCGAGGCAAGCCACTCTTGGACCTGCGCCTCTGCATCGGAGCCTCCTCCTCTGAGCCACGCTCAACTGCAACCTGTTGTTTCCTTGCACAGTCTTTGTCTAGACCATGGTGCGGCTTCGAGTACTGCTGTAGTGTCAGACCAGCGTTTATATATCCAACCGGCTAGCTATCTGAGAGAGAATTGAATCGAGAAGCTTCGCTATATAGTATATTTGTTTAGCCTCCACAACGCTGGTGGAATTTGTAATTTTTCTTTTGATGAAAACGATGTCGAGCTTCCCCCTTGAGCTCCGTGTAGAGTTTACCAATACAGTGAATAAAATAATTATAAAATACGTGTTGCACATATTTAGCATCTACATAGTAATCGAGCAAGCTCATCGAACGCCCGAACTGCGTTTTCTACAAACCAGAAATAATCCTAGACTAGTCACATTTGGGGGTACGGAGTGATATGATAGGTGCCACCTATTAAAGTCAAAATTGAAATTTTTATTCCATTATCATATGTTGCAGGTAAGAGTCTATCCGTAAAAAATAGTAAACGATTAAATCGGTAGCTTAAAGCTGGAGGTTTGTTGCGCACGTAGGATGGATCTGAAGAAACGCTTTAAACTTTTGCTCGAACGCTATACATTATTTATTACACAGCGACACGGTTGTTTTTCTTTCTGTTTCTATTCATATATTCGATAGGTAAAAAAGAATGATTTCAAATAAAACATTTTATAGAAAAATTTCATATGTTCCGCGTTTCATTTCTATAGGGACAAGGTCGTCTATACTTAGTATGATATCTTAACGTCACCTCATTGTTAAATCATAATCGTTGTATTTGAGTGGTTGTCCTTCATGTTTAGCACTTTCCACATAAATAGTGCTCGGTTTGCCGAAGCAAACAACCTCCAAGAAACGTATAGTGATTTTTCGTTATTATGGTAAGGTGAAAGCACGTGACTACATATAACGTTCTATAAAATAAGGTAAAAACAGTATTTGTGGGTATATTGTGGAGTATAATTGCATAGATACGTTGTATCATGGTGTTTCTTGGATCCTGCTTATGTCAATGCACTATATTTACGCTGATTAATACTGATGACTTGCTTTGGTACCATGCACTCCCTATGTTCAGTTTATACATCGAATATAAAAACAGTTCAATAATCTAAAATAGTCAATTTAATCGGACTAGACATGTGGCAAGCGATACAGGGCAAAACCTGCCGCCTCTGTAACTTATTTTGTTTGAGTGAAAAAAAAAAAACAAACAACTTGCCTCTTTGTAGACAATTACATCTGTGATCCTCTAACAAAAACCACTGAATAAAAATCGAACCACGTAATCGGTGTTCTATAATGTTTTGTGATCCTGTCGTAAGGTTCCAGTGATTGAAATCAAAAACAAGCTTCGAATGCGGCTTTACGAACACGCGTATGCATCGAAGCCTAAAACAGCTTTGATCCCGTACAACTACTACATGTGTAAAAAGGCGACCTTTTATCAGCTCACTTGATTGGCTATTTATAGAGGAGGCTTTTTTGACGTTTAATGACTGTTAAGCCTGAAGCGCGTCATAATGGTTGGCCTCGAAAATTCGAAAAAAGCGATACGGTTAAAACGGATGATAACCGTCGGGCGGCTCAGTGCGCACGGGTGATTTAATAAACATCGGAGCTTGATTTGTACTCGACAGATTGTCCGAGTCTTTGACAGCTTCAGAAACCGTCTGGTCGCCACTGAGGAGCTCAGGGGCATTTGAATTCTGTCTCAGAAGAAATATATACAACGGCCACGGATCTGTTTGAGCCTGCTGTTCCTCGATCACCGATTCGTCGCACGTAGATTGATACCATTGTCTATGATCAGATGTAGCTCGAGCCGACGCGCTCATGGACGCTGGTGACGATAAGGCAGGTGCCATTACTTCTGCCGTTTGAATTACACTCAATTGCCACGGGGGACGCGCAGTTCGGACTGGCTGCCGCCATCGATTCAGGCTAAACATCTCTTGAGTCATTTAGTAGGGTGAGAATTGACTAGCTGCAATGGTTTTTGAGACAGCAGATGCAACGGAGGCCTTTGCTGCACACGATGGACCCGCTGCCCTAAAACTCTTTGCCCTAAGGAGATTCTTTTTTCCGGAAAACCTCCACGTAGTGTCATTTAGATCGCTTGCGTTTGATATCGTCATACACTGGCTCATACGAGTCTTGGGTCCGTCGAGTCGCACGACCGATTTGCACTTTGGGCACGAGGCTGGCAGACTGGCGATGAACTTTTTCGTCCAAGTCGATACGTGTTGCGATGACAGTAGTTCGGCAAATTATACAGATCACTAAACCGGTTTTAACGGCGCGGTTTTTTGTCGTATCGACGGAGAACAGATCAACTGTTTCTGAATGCGGAAGGCGCCAGATAACAGTCACTGCACAAGACGTGGTTACAGCTGCAGTAGACTAACGCCTATACGATATAGTGGCAAACGTTACACGCCAGCCTTTCGGGTAGAATTTGACGAGAGTTGACTTGATCATTCTCACTGAAACCCATGTTTAATGCAGGATCGGAACAGCCACGAACTTTCATCGTATCGCTAGAAAGGAATAAAGCTAGTCGTCAGAAGACTCTATTATTATGGTAACTAATTGCTCCTATACACTTCTAAGACCAATTAGCTATAATAATAATTATAAATATGCCATACCTATAACAAGCCCCAATTACGAACAAAGGCGCTACCGTACGCGACGTTTCGATGAACACTAACTATTTCCAACTAGACGCTCTATTTTCTTACAAAGTCAAGCCTATTGCGTTACGTATATTCATTGACACCTAATCCATCTTTAAGATTTTGCTATCCACGAGTTATCAGTTAAGTCTGTGAAGAGAAACATATGAAAACGAATAGTACATGTCTGCTGTCCGTTAGCAGACTCCGCTTTGAAAACGTTCTACACAAGTGTGATTTGATATAGCAGACGTCCTCTTTCACTTCAGCCGTTGCAGGCAGCAGCTCCTGCAGTAGACCTGACCTGTTAACCTAACTTGAACGTCACAGGCTCACACACAACTTGGACACTACTAGAATCACATATGGCATCGCTCAGTTAATTGAAGCGTGGAGGCAAATCGGTTAAGTTTACCCAACGGAAAGCTGTGCTTTTATATAATCGACTCCAGTGACGGCTAATCGACTCACAGAACGAAATATATATATATATGTATATATCCAATTTATTATGTAAAATTGTTGTATTTATATGTTTTTCAAATGTTTGAATGCTATGTGATACGCATAATTTGGAAAAATTATTATGAGAGACGGAAAACAAAAGACGAAAATGATAGCTAATGTATGAAAAATGGCAAATGAACCAAATTGAGACGTTTTTAAATTAGATACATGTTAACCTGCTTCAGTTGCAGGGTTTAACGTCGAAGTTTAATATGAGGTAATCTGCACTGCGCCTGCAAAGAAGGACAGGAAGTGGGGGGATCTGAAGCCGAGCGTAATTCGTACTACTAACAGGACAACAGTTGGAGTAGCCGGGTATTAGTGGAAGCAGCTCATCGTTTACCTGTCACGATGTATTGCAAGAAGATCTTCGGCCACAAAGCTTCTAACCGTTAGTGTCTCTAAATAGACGAATACAACTTTTCGCGCGGCGGCAACCATTTTCGTCAAGGTGTCAACGAGATCCTGGAGATGCACAACTTTTACTGCTAGAGTGAGTCGTCCTACTCTTCCAAGGATTTCCCAAGCACAAAAATTAGACCTAAATTAATGCATAGCGACTGATTTCGCCCACAACACACCCACTCTGTTTTACTACTCCTTGCACATGCTAAGCTGCTAGTAAAGAAAAAAAAGTAAGGAACATTAGCTTGGAGGAACACGTATAGAGCCAATTGAAACTTTGCTACCATCTGTTTACTTCTAATTGTTTTGTACTTTGATATAATTCCACCACTGTGAGAGAAGTAGCACATAAAGCTGTTTACTGGACGTCCGCGCGCTGTCGACTTCTATGAAAGAGCACACTAATTCCATGACAAATGTGATTAAATAAAAAAAGGTTTACTGTCATTGAAATAATTCCGGGAAGCTTCGTTACAGAGTGTGCTAATAACAGCTGTTTGCTGTTTGGTGCTCAGGCCGACGCCACGTCGAGGTCGTGGCGAGTCCATAAAGGGCGCGGGCTGATTACCAATGTCGGCCGTGTCACAGGCAGTTCTCCTCAATCCCTTTTAACGACGTTACCTTTTTGAAGCTGAGTCGATATTCATGTAGTTCTCGTTTATCGATTAGAATATAACTTCACACGAATGATTGACTGCGCGTACACAAATCGGAGCAAACGGCTCTTGATGGTTCGCTTAAAAAGCTCTTCACAGCTAGAGAGCCTGTATTTTTTATGAATTGAAGTTAACTGAAGCTGCCGCCATTGGTTAAACTAGATTGTTTTATGAGACTATTATAGTATGTATTCGAAGTAATGAAGCCAACGTAGACACACATACATATGGGTATTTTGAATATCTATAATATCATATAGCGCAATGGAGTGTACGTGTCGTCTTAAAATTCTAAACAATCACATCGCGTTTCATAACATAGGCGTGCTTCGCCATTTTTCTTTATCGTTTTCCGACGCTAATCGGGAGAATCGAGCGTCTGAACAAAAGGGTGACCGTGATTTGTAGATCCCTTGTGTCGATGTAATATCGTCAAGGCTCGGAGCTTCGCTAAAGCGTGTACGAGACATCGAAACCGCTTGAGCGGCAGGATCATTGTTCGTTGGGGGGTGAGGAAGTGCTCAGGAAATCCTTATTTTGACCCAGTAGGTATTGCCACTGAAACGAGGGGCTATAGACGAGATGAAATTGGACCACATGGTGTCTTTCATAACGTTGTTGCGCTACATTGTGTGAATGAAGTGTCCAAGTCGCTTGGAGTATTCGACAGTGCATATTGAACTTTTATTTAGGATAAAGCATTCGACAATGGGGGAAAATTCGCAGAATGTGTGGATTCCAGCTCAACAGACGCTGGAGCTAAAGCGGTGCGTCTTCGGCTACGGATATTTTCGTTTACTATCATTGGTCCCTCGTCGTGGTACGGTATCGATATAAACGCCCTATGTCAGAGGGAAGGAGCCTGATTAAACGATGACCTGAAGTCGAAAGATGCAGGTCTTAGATGATGATATTCCTGCTTTTGTCGATTTTTGAATGACTTCCTTTTCGCATCTGAACAACTTTGAGAGCGGCGACGCGGAAGGGGGTTCTTGCAGAGCGCCATATTGATGATGATGAAAAGCTGTAAAACTTACTTGAGACGTCAGCGTTGAATTGACAGGTGCTGCTAATCAAATCAGTGTATTTGAGCAACTAAGGTCCTCTGCTGGTCCGCTTCGGTGGCTTTTTGCTTTGGCCAAACGTATTCCGTGTCAACTTTTCGTTAACCAACCGCTTTTTTGGACGTCTTGCATTAGATCGGGATTTTTATACGCAAGGACATCAAGCTTATGTTGGTGTTCTTCCGCGAGATCAGATTTTATAAACGGTGCACCACTTTTGCCTGGAATCATACACTGGGCAATGTGAGTCTTGAATTCGCTTCATACGATGTTGAGTTTACAATAGGAACAGGCGCGTGCTACCCGGACAATTGATTTTTCATCTAAATCGATCTGCGTTGCGGTCCAGCGGCCTCGCACAGAAGACCGTTACGGTGTTGTCCTTGTTTCTGTCCAAAAATGGGTCCAGGGGACACTAAACAGCAGTCGCAGCAAAGGACGTTATTACAGCTGCAGTAGGCAGCTTTCGCAACCATGTAGCCACAAGCGCTGCACGAAACCCGGTCAGGCGCATGGCTTGGATCGGCCTGAAAAATACGAACATTTTCGAAGTTAATATTTAAGACAGGATTTGAAGAACCACGCGCTTCTATGCTCACTACGCTGGCAATAACAGGGCAAGCCGGTAGTCCAGTGACGGAGACACATTTAGCAAGATATTTCCTAAGACGGACTTGCACGAGGCGATGATACACGTGAGGTATATATTGCAACTGTTATTTGAAGTGTTTTCGACTACTGCATATCTAATTTAATAATAATAATATCAGCCGATTTTTATTTGTGGAGAGGGCAACCATCATCTTTCTACTGAGGGGCTAGTTGTACCTGAGAGCAGGTACCAACGCTTCGACGAGTTGGCCGATCAGTAAGCGCTGCTTGAATCGTATTTGCTCAACTTTGAAGAGCAGATTAACTATGACTGATATAACCTGATGTTAACAACGTTACTTGGCTTAAGTCATGTAATTCGTTCGAGATGGGGCGCCACATACTGAACACAGTCTGTTCTTTACTACAGATGGGCGACTACTCTACTAGGCGACTACTAGGCGATCCAAATCGTATAGCTTTGGTTTTTCTCTTATTTCCTAATGAGGTGAAACGTAATTGGAGTTCAAGTATCATTGAAACAGTTTCACTAGCAAATAGATACGAAGGGATTCGTCCACAAAATTTAAAAGATTGTTAAAACCATCATAGTGTCTGCTTTATAGCTATTCGCTAACTAGCAATTCGACAAAAATTTAACAACGCTGTTTAGTAAACCTAGTGATAATAATATACTTGGATAAGATCATTTAAGCCCGTGCACCCTACCTAAATAAGTTGAGCAGAACTATGGGGCCGGAGGGGGCGTGATTTGTATGGCTAATGTGCGCCTCTTTCACAGGGGTATCACATAAAAATTAATAAACAAGCATGCCGCGACGTCGATTCAGATATCAGCGTTGGTTAAGAAATATCACCAGAAATTAATAACAAAAAACAAGGAACCAAAAAAATAAATAATTATTAATGACGCTTATAATTGTTACCATGCCATTCCATACGTGTACTGGAATAACCCCAAATATGTCCAGCAAAAGCCACGCCGATTAGACTCCTAATGGGAGCAAACCGATGCCTAAAACGAGCTAATTCGGACGATTTACACAACGATAACAATTGAGAACGCCATAGTAGAAAAAAATCGAGTAAAAAATATTGGGCTAACATTTTGAAACGACAGACAATCATCGCCGAAGCGCTGGTGGTCGCTTTTTCCAACTGATCGGTAAGTGAATCTCGCGAGGCTTTCAAGAATCACTTGATGACAGTGGGCTTACTGCCTTTGAACTTCCAACAGGAAAGGCACATCGTTCGTTTTTTAGTCGACGAGTTCGCTTGAACGATGCTCAGCTTTTGGTTCAACTGTACCCCAGCTACATGTTGTCGTTGACCACCAAAAGATAAAGAGAGCAAAAGAACCGCGCCATGTCTTGAACTAAAGTTCAAAAAAGCAGTGTTTTACCCGAATGAGTCATTCATCACAGAGCTTGTATGTTAGAGCCCTTCATCAGATTCTCTCTCTGCCTCTTAAAGCATTTCTTACAAACACTGTTTATCGTGAATATGGTGCGATTGCTGCTTTCTTGCCGTTCTGCAGCTATGAAGTTTAAGGAATTCCCTAAGTATCGGCCCTATCGATGTGAAAATCATCGCGAATTGAACCCGTGATCTGAATACGTGCGTCACTTGTTCCGAAGTAGATGTTCCATTACAGTTGTGACCGTATGTTCCGCTCGGACTCGGTATTGCCGGTGAGCGGCAATCGGCAAGAACTTTTACACATATTCTGCAAACTGTTTTCTGTATCATGAGAATGCAAACGACATGAAAAACAAGACGGTCGAAAGTTTCACTGTTGTCCTGCTATGTCTGTATTCAAGGTGTGACACCTATGTAGACCTCGAGCACTTTTACGTTTATTCGACTCAGTGTCTGTAATATATTATGGGTAAAACCACGACTGCTAGCGACGAC